CCTCGCCGCCAACTCCACTCGGCTCGCCCTTGCCGCCCTCCCTGTCCTGCCCGACGCCCCCGCTGTCCCCGCCGCCCCCGCCTTCACCGCACGCCCCCCCCTCGCGAGGGGCGGGCGCGGCCGCCGCTTGCCCGCCCGGGTGCGCCCACTGGACCTCCCTCTCCCCGTGCCCCGGACGCCCGAACACTGAGCCGCAGCCGCACGCCGCAAGCGACGGCTCTCCCTGCTTCGAGGTACTGAGTTTCGCGACCAGGCGGAGTGGGCTCTCGCAGCAGAGAGAGGCTACCCCCCCGGCCGCGGCCTGTAGGCTTGCTGCGGGCCGGCCGCGTGCGACCTCGGCCTCGGCGACCTCCTGCTCGAGACCGTAGAAGCGGAAGATCTCCCCATATCTCGCCATATCTCCCCATATCTCGTGCCTCCTGCTCGAGACCGTAGAAGCGGATTACGCACCTCCTGTCTCCCAACCAGCACTCGAGAGGACACGTACTCCGCTGTACTCCGCTGCATTCCGCTGCACTCCGCTGCACTCACTGTACTCGTGAGTGCCGTCTTCCCGCCCTCATGTCGGCGTATTCACCTCGCAGGCTCGAGACGTACGACGCGGGCCACTTCGTCTTCTCCGACCTCGCCGGCGCTAACCCTGACCCTGACCCTGACCCTACCCCTAACCCTGACCCTACCCCTACCCCTACCCCTACCCCTACCCCTAACCCCAACCCTCACCCTACCCCTCACCCTACCCCTCACCCTAACCTAGGCGGCTTCTCTCCTGGCGCCTTTGGCGAGGTGGGGAGGGCCTCGTCGCTGCAGACTCGCGTGCGCGGAGACGCCACCCCGTGGTACTCGTCGGTCGTGCCGTGGCCAGCGGCGGAGGCGAGCAGCGTGCGCGCTGCGCTGGGCACGACGACGCTCGCGCGCCCGCAGCAGCTTCGCGTCATGTACCAGCTGCGCGACGCGAGCGGCAACAGTCTCGTGAGGCAGCCGGCGAGCGCTCCGCAGGTGCGCTACCGCGACGGCGGCGCAGATCGGACGGTCTCGTGCGGCTTGCCGGACGGCAGCTCCGGCGTGGGCGAGTGCGTCGGGTTGCTTTCGAGGGGAGCATTCGCCACCGAGCGCGAGGTGACGCTGTCCTTGCTGTGGCCCGACGCGGCGACGGTGGCGCTGCCGTCCTTCGCGAGCGTGCGGCTGCAGCGCGAGCCTTCCTGGTCGGCGGCGGGGGGCTGGAACGCGCACCGCGAATCGGTGGCGGCCGTGGCCTTTGGCGCGGTGCTCCCGTTCGAGGACGTGTTCTTGGCCGCCAGCGGACGACGAGCAAGCTTCGACGTCGCGGTGTACTTGCGGACCGACATGGACGCGGCGAGCCGCGCCTCCTCCTTCGCCCCCCTCCCCGCCTCCCTTCTCGCCTCCTCTTCCCTCGCCGCCCCCTCCCTCGCCGCCCCCTCCTCTGCCGCTTCCTCCTCCCTCACCGCCTCCTCCCTTCCCGCCGCCTCCTTCCTCGCCTCCTCCTCCCCCTTCCTCACCTCCTCCTCCCGCCCCGCCAGCGCAGCGCGCCGCTCCGGGCGCGAACGGCGTCTCTTCACTGCGTGTAGCGTGTCCAGGCGAGCCGCGCGGCGCAGACCATCTCAGTCGGAAAGTTCCAGCTCGTCTTTGACGCGGCGGCGTGCGAGGTGACGGGCGACTCGGGGAGGCACCCGAACTTTGGCACCTGGGACACGCTGCCCGACTCGCGCGCCGGCGAGTACGGGCTGCTCTTCATGAACGGGAACGTGCGTGGGCACGCGAGGAGGTCGGGGAGCCTAGAAGCGGAAGACGGAGTCTTGCCCTCCAAGTAGCGCTCGAGAGGACACCTCCCTAGGACACCTCCCCGTGCTGCGCTGTAGTCCACGGCACTCCGCTGTACTCCCTGTGTTCGCACCCCTCGTATTCTGAAGACACTGCACAAGCATGAGTACCGTCTTCCCGCCCCGATGGCGGTGTGTTCCCCACGCAGGATGGGGACCGCTGAAAACACTGCACAAGTACCGTCTTCCCGCCCCGAGGCTGGTGTGTTGGCCACGTAGGATGGTGACGGTGCGCATGTCCTGCGGCGCGGGCCGGCACCTGATCGGGGTGCAGACGCTCGCGTACTCGGACCAGGACGGCGTGTCTGCCAGCCCTCGCGCTGTGTTTGCGACGAGCGTCGGGCGAGAGGACGGGCACCCTAGAAGCGGAAGACGCATTCATGTCTCCCTACCAGCTGGTACTCACTGTACTCGTATCCATTATCTTCAGGCGGTGCTCTGAATACACACTGCCCAGTACCGAGTTCCCGCCCTCATCTCGGCGTACTCACCACGTAGGACGGTTACGTCGCGCGGGCAGAGGTCTTCGTCAAGGCGTCCCAGGACCGGGCGGTGTTTGCCTATCCAGCTGACGGGCGCGCGTACCTCAACACCTTCGCCTCGCTCGGCCAGGCGGCTTAATTAATGGCCACTCTCATTACGCAAAAGAAGCCTGTGGCGCTCACCGGCGCTGAAGGAGGAGGAGACCGTGATTACAATAATCATAAACATCACCAGTCTCTCGGCCAACACCTCGGCCAACACCTCGGCTGATCTCGGCTGATCTCGGCCAGGCGGCACCGACCCTCTCCGTCAAGCTGGACAGCATCAGCGACAGCCCCGACGAGGGGCGCACCCGAGACGTGGGCTGCGCGGGCGAGTGCAGCTACACGCCGGCCGCGGGCGCCCCGAGCGGCGCGGTATCGCTCTTGGCGTCACACGGCGGCGCTTCGGACGAGCTGACGGTGCAAGTACGCTCTCCGACGACCGTGCGGCTGTCGGTGGACGACGCGACTCTCTCCGCGGTCGGGTGAGTGAGTACGGGAGGAGATGGCGGAGGAAGGCGGGGAGATTCAGATTGGTGGGGGTCCGCGAGAGGGGGTCGGGCCGGGCTCCTAGAGATATCATGCATGCCACAAGGTGCCACCACGACGCCGCGACGGACATGTACCAGTCGACTCGGCTGCGGCTCACCGTCGACGGCAGCCTCGACATGACTCGCCTCTCGACGTACTCCAGCTCCGACCCCCGCATCGCCGAGGTGGTTGGCAGTCGCGTGGTGGGACGCGGCGTTGGGACGGCGACCATCTCGGCGTTCGGCGGCGTCGCGTCGACCACAGTGACGGTGGAGGCGGCCGTGCTGCAGCCGTCGCTGGTGTCGCGCATCGTGACTTCGCTCAGTGCGGAAAAGCGAGCTCAGAGCTTCACGAGCGAAGCGAGCGTCGGGTACCTCTACACCTTTGCGGCGTACGCCAACGGGGACGTGCACACGCTGGAAGACGACGCGCTGAACGTGAGCGTGCTCGCGGCGGACAGGGTGACGCACACGCTGGCGGGCGGGCGGCACGCGGTGGGAGTCGTGCCGGATGCGCGCGCGGCGTCATGCGACGAGGAGCTGATGAGCGTGGCCCTCACGGCTTGCGGCGGCTCACTGCCAGCCGCGGTGCCGCCTCTCGTGCTCGCGCTGCCCTCGCCGGTCGCGCTGAGGCCACTGGCAGTGTCGACCGCCCACATCGCCCCGAGCGACAGCTTTGCTCGCTCCGCCGCGCTGAGCAGCCGGCCCGCAGAGTCGGGCAGGCTGACGCGGGCGCTGGTTGCGATGAGCGACGGACCCGACAAGGACATGCTTGCCGACGCGCGGGTGACGCTCACCTCGTCGGACGGCGCGTGCGTGGAGGTGGCGCCCAGTCTCGCGGAGGCCCCGAGGTGGGACTTTCGCGCGGTCCCTGGCGGAGCGTGCACGCGCGCAGTCCTCACCGCCACCTTCACGCTCGGCTCGTGGGTGAAGAACGCGACCGCCGCCCTGTACATCGTTCGTCCAAAGTCGCTGAGCGTTGCTGCCGCTTTGCACCCGCCGTGCAGCAGCTCCGCGGCGGCGCTGTACGTGCTGGGGTGCAAGGGGCGCGTGCGGCAGCGCGCCGCCTTCACCGCGTCGTACGAGCTGGAGGCGGACGACGCAGGCTACTCGCGGGGCGGCATCGTGAGCTTGGGACACGCGGACGTCACCCTCGCCCGAGCCAACCTCAAGCTCCTCTCCGGGGCTGTGCACGAGGGCGTGGCGGCGGGCGGCGCGTCCTTTGGCGTGAGCCTGCGCGGGCAGAGCGCAACGCACCGCCTGCTCATCTCGGACGATCGGTTGCGCTTGGCCGAGAGCGCAGCGTCCGTGGCGGAGACGGTGGTGACGACGCGGCGCGTGGCCGTCTCGGCGACGTTCAGCGGTCGCGGCGTCGAGTGCACGTACTCGGACTGGGCGGTGCGTGGCAGCTTGGGCACGGCGATCGAGGACGTGGCGTCCTTCTCGGTGGCGTCGGCGTACGGCGGCGTGCTGAGCGTGTCTGCCGACGGCACGGTGACGGCGCTGGCGACGCATTGGGCGAGGGCGTCGTTCTCGGTGACCAACGCGTGCGACGCGTCGGACGTTGAACACGTCTCGCTCTTCGTCAACCCGGCGGCCGGCGAGCTCGACTTGGGCGAGGCATCGCGGGCGCCGCTGCAGGCGGGCAGCACGCTCGAGGTGAAGCTGTGGTGGGACCTGAGCGGCACGTTCAGTGGCGCGTGCGCGCGCCACCCGATCGAGGCGCTCGTCGCCCACTTGCTACTAATCAGCGGGGAATGAACGATGAATCAGCGATGAATGAACGATTCATTAGGCGATCGCCGCCTACTTGCTGTACAAGTCGGCGGAGCTCGATGCCACGGCAGCCCGCAGCAGCTGGGCGCCGCACGCCGGCGGCACATTCCAGGGGACGCTGCAGGCCGTGGCGCAGCCCTTCGACTCGCCGACGAGCGACGGCGCCTACGACAGGTGGTCGAAGGTGGTGTACGCGGATTTCGTCAAGTCGGGCTTCACGGGCACGAGCTGGAGCCGGATGAACCCCGCCAGCGTGGCGCTGGCGGTGCGGGGAGGAGTGCGAAGCGGAACGGTGGGGCTGCGGCTGGAGGTGAGCTGCGGCGGCGCGTCGCACTTTCTGCCGAGCGCGGAGGGGGCGACCGAGCTGCCCTTCACCACGGGGTGGAGCGAGGTGCTCCCCTACCAAGCGGCTCGCCGCCTCGCGCTTCAGCCACGTCTGCGGCGGAGGCTGGGCGCGGCGGCGCACGGCGACGTGACGGGCGACGGCGTCACCGACGCGAGCGACCTCGCCGCCGTGGTCAACTACTTCAAGGCGCCGGCAACGGTCCGCCTCGACCTCCTCACCGACGACCAGAAGCTCTGGCTCGACGCCAACCGCGACGGCGAGTACGCAAACGCTGGCGACGTCCTGTACGCCGCCCGCGCCTACGCCGGCGCAACCGCCTACGCCGTCATCGAGCCTCTGGGGTGCCCGACCGAGGCGCAGGGCGAGCTGTCGGCCACGGTGACGAGCTACTCGGCCGCGCAGCACGTGCTCGAGGCCGTCGAGGCAGCGGTGGAGCTGGTCTACACCCGCAGTCCTACCTCCGCCCCCGCGCCCTCTCCAGCCACGCCCTCTCCAGCCACGCCGTACTGGCTCGGGGCGAGGGTCGAGTCCGGGGCGCGGCTTCCGCCAACCGCGCCGCCCTCACCGCCGGGTGGGCCGCGCTCCGCCAGCTTTGCGATGGAGGCCACCCGTGGCGGCCGCTCGCTTCGGCTGCGGCCCGAGGGCGGGTGGGAGGACGGGGCGCGGCTCGAGCTGGCGTACGTCGTCGGCAGGAGGGGCGACAGCGAGGCGCGAGCGATCTTTCTCCAGTCCACCATCACAGGGCAGCGGTTCGTGCCGCTGCAGGGCTGCACTCTTCGCTTCTCGCCGGTGCAAGTGCCGGTGTCGATGTCGGCGCCGGTGCCGCACTGGTCGCATCCGCACCCGCAGCCTCCCGAAGCGACGCGTCCCGCGCCGTCCCCTCCCCCCTCTCCGGCCCCTCCCCCCTCGCCGGCCCCTCCCCCTTCGTCGCTGCCGCCCCCGCCGCCGCCGGTCTCATCGCGCGGCGGAGGAAGTGAGCCACGGCCCGAGGCGCCGCCGCCCCTCCCGAGCGGGCGGACGAGCTACCTGGAGTCCTCTCGAGGGCGGGCCCTCGCCGCGGGCGCCGCAGCTGCGATGGCGGCGTGGCTGCTGCTGCGCCGCTCGCGCGCGTCACCGGCTAGCCAGAGGTCCCTCCCTGCAGCGAGGCGCAGCCTCGCGCCGCAGCTGCCTCTGGCGCGGCCAGAGGTGGACAGCGGGCGGGGAGGCGGCGCCGCGTGGGCGAGCAAGGAGCGCCGCGCGCCGCAGCAGAGTGCTCCTCCTTGCCCCGGCCACGACCGTCCCACCCCTTCCTTCGGTAGGCGAGCCAGGAGCCGCTGCTCCGCCACGCCTTGCGCAACGCCGGCCGCAGTGGCGAGGCCGAGCCGATGCTCTCCGCCGCTGCTCTCCGCTCCGATGGCGGCCGAGCGACTCCGCCCAGGCCGACGGCCGGGTGGCTGGGGAAACCAGCCCCCCAGCCGCTGCCGAAGCCGGACCCGCACCAGGTTCTGCGCGAGCGGCCGCCGCTTTCCCCGCGCTCACCCCTCGTGGCGGCGTGGGAGGAGGGTGGGCGCACGGTCGCCCGCTTGTTCGAGTTCGACGGTGCCGACCCCTCCGCCCCCGGCTCGTCGTCCGATTGCCCGCCCGACAGTGCGGCGAGGCAGGCGCGGGGTCGTGCCATTCGAGCGCGCGCCTCCAGCTCCGCTCACGTCGGCGGCGAGGAGCTTCTGCTCGACGGCCGGCATTGCGCGCACGGCCGGAAGGAGCCCTGGTACTGGGCTCCGTCCGCGGCGCCGGTGCAGTTTTCCTCGCGGCAGTCGCGGGGGGGCGACTGCGAGGGCGCCGCCGGAAGCTCGAGCGGCGGCGGCGCAGCAGAGCCGCGCAGAGAGGAGGTCTTGGCAACTCTGAGTGACGCCGAGCGGACGCTGCGCGAGCAGCAGACGCTGTGCGAGTCTCTCGCCGCCGGTGAGAAGGACGCGGGTGCGCCGCTCTCTGCTGTAGGCGCGCGCTCGCTCGGCAGCCGTGGTGCTCTCACCCGGTCGTGGTTCGGTGGACAGGCATCGCGTCGCTGCTCCTTACGCGCGGGCGGGAGCTGGCGGCGACGCGGCTCGAGGTGTGCAACTGCTCTGTCGCCGTCGCACTCGGCACTGAGTCGGGGGGTGCCAGCTCACTGCATGTCACGCGGGCCGAGTCGAGCGAGGTGGCGGCCGCCACGGCGGCGGCCGCCGCCGCGGGACGCGCCGCGGCTGAGGCTGCGCAGGCGGCCGACGCAGCGGCCGCGCGCGCCACGCCTATCTACACGCTCGCGCGCTACACTCCGCAAACGAGGGCTGGCGGCGGGTTTGGTGGCGAGGCTGTGAGCTTGGCGGCGGCGGCGGCGGCGGCGGCGGCGGCGGCGGGGACAGAGGCGGCATCACCCTGTCCGCGGCGCTCGCTGCAGCTCGACGACGACGACGACGACGAGGAGGAGGAGGAGGAGGAGGAGGACGAGGAGGAGGAGGAGGAGGAGGACGGCGCTGGCTTGCTGCAGGAGGGCTGGACGCTCGGCTCCTCTTTCCGCCACTCCTCCGCCCGCTCGTCCTCTCGCAAGAGCAGGGGCCGTGCCTCCTCCTCCTCCGACCGCTACTCCGCCGTCTACGACTCCTACGACTCGGAGGCCGGCGTGTCGCTGCAAGTGGCCGACGCCCCGTCCGCTTCCCCCGCCCGCTCGGAGCAGTCGGTCTTCTCCTTCATGCTCGACTACGACGGCGATCCGGGCGCCGCCCTGCCCGAGGGAGCGACGCGGCAGCGAGCGGCAGCCGTCCACAGCCTCGGCAGGGAATGCCGCCCCACCCCCCGGATCGTCACTCTGTAGGTACTTTGACGAGATCGACGACGACGAGCTGATCGCCGCGTGGCCCGCGAATCTCGCCCCGCCGCGCCAGGGCGAGGCCGAGCTCAAGCTCCCGACGGCGGGCTACCACACGCCGCCACAGCTCTCGGCGGCGGACCTGAGGGCGCTCAAGGCGGAGGCGCACGGGGCGGGCCTGTGGACGCCCTACGACATGCCGCCGACCCCGCGCACGCCCTCCCGCGTCCCCTCGCTCCCCTCGCCGATCGCCGAAGGGAGCGAGGGGCGTTCGCGCGGGCCGGTGCCGACGGCGCCGCCGCCGTCGGCGATGCCGTACCGCGGGCCAGCGCGCGAGGCGGACGGACTGCCCGTCGACGAGGACGCCGGCGAGAGCGACGCGCAGGAGGCGCACCGGCGGAGGCAGAAGTTTGACCGCGCCGTTGCCTCCAACATCTTCGCCGCGTCGCAGCGGCTTTCGCACCGCGCAGAGTCGCTCGGTGCGCTCGCCGAGGGCTGCGAGCCGCAGGCGGAGGCGGCGCTCACCGCTGCGCGCGCCTGCCTCGACGGCGAGGTGCAGGAGCTGCGTCGGTCCTCTCTCCCCCCCGCCGGCCAGCCACGTCGCACGCCCCTCCGCCCCACCACAGTCGGCTCGTGTGCCTGCGCTATAGGTTCATGCGGCAGCTCGCGCGCTTGCTCGAGCGCGACCCGATCCTCCCGAAGCGCGAGCAGATGCGCTGGGTGATCCAGGCCGAGCGCAACTACTCCCGCCTCCTCTCGCCAAGCCCCCAGCCGCCGGCCGGCGCCGCGATTGGAGCAAAGCCGCCGCCCGCGAAGCGCCGGCGGGGCCTTCCCTGGGGGCGGCGCAAGAGCAAGGCTAATCAATCCGGCCAAGTGTCGGTGCCGCAGATCTCGCAGGGGAGCGCAACACCTCTCGCGATCTGAGCCGCCGCTCGGGGCGGATTTCGAGGAAGGAATCGGAGGAGATCAGAGCGGATCATCTGGCTGTGTCGGTGCTACGTACTGTCTCTCTGTCTGGGGCGGGGCTCGCGGGGCGCTGGCTGTTAGTGGCCGCACACCCCTAGCCGCTCCTCACACTCTTGTCTCTCACATGGTGGGGTGCTCTCTCTCTTGTGATGTGTCCGTCGCTGCGCTGGCCTTCTCTTCGCGTCTGGAGAGGCGTGTCCGTGTGCAGCAGCTGTGCGCAGAGGTACTGGTTTTCTGCCCTGTCTTATCCGTGTCTACGTCGTGGCGCAGCTGAACATGAAGCAAATTTTGACACATTGCTCTCTAAATATTTTTGTCAAAATTGCATTGAGCGGATGTCGAGAGCAGCACAGGGCCACAGCCGTCTGACTGGTCACTAGAGCCGTAAAAGTGTGCCGATTTGGCGTCGGGCGATTATATCCGCCGCCGGCGATAAAGAGAGCCATCTCTTCCCTCCTCGAGAACGGAAATACGGGGCGACCCCCGGAACGTCGTCGGGCCGTTCTAGACCATAATCTGGCCCTTGGACACCCTCTTGCCGTTGCTGAGGCGGCCGTCCTTGGTGATCCTGCGCTCCTGCGCCGTGATGGACGGCCGCGTGCTGCCCCATGGCCCGGCAGGGATGACTTGATCGCCCTCTTCGACGCCCGTGGTGCAGATGGCAACCATCTGTCGAACAGCGAAGGATGAGGGGTGGGGAGTCAGAGATGGGGGCACAGAGCGCGGAAAAGTGCTGAACGGGCTCGAGAAAGCCCCGGGCCCGCGGACACTGCGGCGAAGGCTCTCTTCAAGCGTCGTTGGGACCGACCTGCATGACCCAACGAAAGAGACCGGTGATGGCACCCAGCAAGATGGTGCCCGTGATGAAGACGGTGATGTACCCGTCGAAGATGTAGGACGGGTACTGCCTGAAGGCGCCGCGCGGGCAAACGGAGATGGCCATGGGCATCCTTGTGGGCACAGGCGGCGGATATCCAGGGCCACTCACGGGTTCTTGAAGATGAGGATGGAGAGAATCAGCGTCGAGCTCGAGCGGAGGAAGTCGGACATCAGGTGCAGGAACGCAGAGCCCATATTGACCGCCTGCGCACCGCGCGGCGCGGGGTGGGAGTTGGGGTCGTGGGGGGGGGGGGGGGGACTCTTGAGCTCTGACCTCAGACTCGTCCTCCGCCTTCTTTGTTCCCACCAGTTCACCAACGTCGCCCTGTCCAAAGCTCCTGAAGGCGAACAGCGAGCCGATATCGAAGAGGAGGCCGAACAGCGCAAAGGCGCAGACGATGCGCGGGTCCACGCCAGTCCACACGCAGGCCGGGGAGCCGTCCTCGAGCGTCGAGCGCCTCTACATCGCTCTACAACGCACGCAGTTCGTCACGCGGTGGATGTAGAGCTCTACAGCTCTACATTGCTCTACAGCGCTCCAGAGCGCTCTACATCTCTACAGCTCTACAGCGCTCTACACTCTACATCCTCTACACCCTCCCTCAGGGTACGACGAGTTTTTGAGGCGGGGGACCTGCCAGCCGCGCCTGGCGCAGCGCCGATGCTGCACCATGTGCGCCGAGGCATTTAGCACTTGTAGCGAGCGCACATGGTGCGGTGCGCGTACTTGAGCAGGCGGTGCGAGCCGCAGTTGGCGCAGGGGCCCTGGGAGTGGGCGCGCGCGGCATTGACGCGGACCCAGGTATTTCTCGGGTATACCTGGTTTTTTGCAGGTATACCCGGGTTTTACCCGGAGGGTGTGCCAACACCGTGCTAACGGCTGTGCTAACGCTTGTTTTGGGACTGCCGTTCGACTGTGCTAACACCGACCTTTGCGCCAAGTGTTGGCACGATCTGTAGTCAGTGCTGCCCCTGGAGGTGTGCTAATGTTAGTCCACCAACCCTGAAGCCCCCTCCCCTCTTGCACAACAGGAATTTTGACAATTAACCAGTGGGGAAAGGCACGACTCACAATGAACGATGGGCTTGCCCATCCCGGAGTGGTTCGATCCCACACAAACCCGAGACGGTGACGGAATGCTGGCTGATGGTCTCAGGCCCAGTGAGGTAGTGCATCAGACTATCCCGGATCCTGCTGAACAAGCTCCTCTTGTAGCTCGATCGGTCAAACCGCCATCGCCGTCGGGGAGAGGGGGGACGACACTGCTCCTGCAGCGTGCACCTCGATCCTGTACCGTGTTTGTTATGACCCCCCCCAATGAACACACCAGTGAGGGAGGGCGAGACGATCGAGGGGTCCCGTACCATGCGGAATCGACCCTATCCAGTGCTCAAGTGCTCAAGCATCCGTCCTCTCCGCGCGACCCCGGCCCCTCTCGTAAGCCCTAGTGCGGACGGTTTTTTTGCGGTATCTTGATGTATCTCTGCAATATCTGACCGTATCTCCCCGTATCTCCTTGCATCTCATCGCATCTCCCCGTATCTCCCCGTATCTGCCCGTATCTCCCCGTATCCGCCCGTATCTCGTATCTCCCGGTATCTCCCGGTATCTCCCGGTATCTCCCGGTATCTCCCGGTATCCCGCCATATCCCGCCATATCCCGCCGCGGATACCGCGAAAAAAACCGTCCACACCCGGGATCTCGTAGCCGCAGCCGCGCAGCCGCAGCCGCGGCCAGGCCACTTGCCAGGCCCAACTCTTGCCGCTCTCCTCTGTGTCGGGTTGTGACGAAATCCCAAGCATCGCGTCTCGTCTCAGAGTTTGACCGTTTTATTTATTTAGCTGGCGGCCAAGTCGGACGAGATGTGCGAGAGCTTGTCCGACGATGTGACGAGGGGTGAGCGGGGACGGATATTGAAGATCCCTCCACACCAAGATCGTGCAGGGCGGCCGGACACATGTTGTATCCCTCTAAAATCCCAAGCATCGCGTCTCGTCTCAGAGTTTGACCGTTTTATTTATTTAGCATCCGTCCTCAGCTCACCTTGCCCAGGAGTCGCGAGGGTTTGCCCCCCCCCCCCCCCCTCCGCCCGCCCCCGCCCCCGCCCCACCACCTCGCGTGTGTGGAGAAGTCAAAACCTTACCTTACCTTACCTTGCCCAGCTGCTCCATCTCCTCGTCCGTCAGCGCAAACTCCAGCGCGGCCAAGTCGGACGAGATGTGCGAGAGCTTGTCCGACGATGTGACGGCGACCACGTCGCGCTGCAGCACCCAGCGCAGTGCCACCTGCACCGGCTCAGTCAGCGGCGCGCTGGCGGCCCCTCACGGCGGGAGAAGGGCGGGTGCATCGCCAAGGCGGCAGGGCGGGGCAAGGCGCGCCTGAGCCGCAGAGCGGTTGTGCGCCTTTGCGACTGCCTTGACGGTCGGGTCGCTGAGCACGTGGCCTGTGCCGTGCATCGTCACTCCGCCGAGCGGCGAGTAGGCGGAGTAGTGGACGGCGTGCCTAGAAGGCTCCTAGAAGGTTCCTAGAAGGTTCCTGCTGAGTACCGGGTAGGCGGAGTCGTGGACGGCGTGCTTGCGGCACGTCTGTCGGGTCGCGTCGTCGCGGCCCCAAAGCTGCGTCGCCTCGGAGTGGCCGCCGATGCTGTAGCCGCACTGGTTGACGGCCGGCTTCACCTTGACGCGAGGGAGGAGCGCCTCGACGGCGCTGCTGTTGAAGTTCGAGATGCCGATGGCCCGCGCCTTGCCGCTCTTCACTAGCGGCTCGAGCGCGCGGTACGCCTTCACGGTCTCGTCGAAGCTGGAGCACGGCCAGTGCACCAAAAGCAGGTCGACATAGCTCAGCCCGAGCACCTTTAGATCGTGCAGCGCGTTTTCGGTCGCGTTGCGCTTGGCGAGCAAACAGAGCGACTTGGTGAACTCGGACGGGCAGCACGGGATCTTTGACGTGACAAAGATCTCTTCGCGAGGAATGCCGCTCTCACGCACCGCCGCGCCAACCTCGGCCTGCTGCCGGTCGGTGTACGTGAGGGCCGTGTCGAGGCCGCGGACGCCGAGCTTGAGTGCGGCGCGGTGATTCCACTCGAAGCCAAAGTTCAGCGTTGGCATCTCCACGCCGGGTGCGATCGTCACACGAGGCACACCGCCGAGCGCGGCGGCGGCAGCGGGGAGAGGAGCCACGCCGCCGAGCGCGGCGGCGGTGGCAGCAGTGGTGGCGGTGGTGGCGGTGGCGGCGGAAGCGGAGACGAGAAGCAGGCACGTCACGGGCACAATCATGGCCTGGAGGCCGACACGAACAAGGGCTCGCCTGTCTGCTATAGCCGCAGCCACTCCCAGCTACTCGGTGTGAACAGAGTTCGTACTCGAGTACCGAGCAGCTGGGAGCAACTCGAGATCCCTCGAGAGTTCACGCGGAGTCGGCTGGGGCTATACCAGACAGAGGGCTCGCTGGGGAAGGTACTCGAGGAGGTACCGGGTAGCCCCCCCCCCCCCCCCCCCTCCCTGGGCTCATTCCCTGCCCTT